AGCAAAACTTGGTTTATTAAATTCAGCACTTTCTGCAATCTATGGGATAAAGTTTAAAACTACTAATAATAAAAATACGCATTACTATTTAGTTGGAGCATTTGACAATGAAGATGCTCCCAAATTACCACCATACCAAACGAGTGAAGGGCAATTCTATGAAAATGGCGAGGATACACGTTATGGGTATAGTAAACTCTCACCCGACGAACTAGAAATCGCTCCCAGTTCTGATATACAGTTGTATCAGGATATGTTTGATATCTGTTAATATATGTATCTATTTAATAATGGCCTATGATATATCTTACAAAGGGGGTTTTTGTGACGCTTAAAAAACGCGATTGGAAAAAATTTGTCCCCATGGCTATATTATATCACAGAAGGGATTTTTGTGTCGCCTAAAATGTCATATACTAAAAATTTTATCTATTGTAGGCGATGAATTGGAAATTTGAGGTTTTATCTCTTCTTCGAGCCTACTCAGAAGAAGCAAAACTTCGATGTTCTGCATCATCTTGGGAAATAAGCCCTTTTTGTCTCATCTGATAATTCAATGAATGAAATCGACCAGAATGTTTTGGACAATACCCTGTAATGGATATAGTAGGTTTTCCACAAATACCGCAGGGGAATTTCTCTATATTTCGCTCTAACAACCCATAGGTCACCAGCATTTATTTCCGCATATGGATCCATCTCTTTTAATGTGAGGGCAGATAGCGCGATCCATGAAAGTATTCTAGAATGAAATATATAATATATGTATAAAATTCAAATATTTAAATATTTCGAATTTATTATGAGATAAAATAACTTTACATACTGATACTACATACCACACTAAAAAAATATATAAATTATATACTAAAGAGCTGGAATATACTAAAGAAACAATTACTGCTAAGCAATTATCCAAATTGGCTAATCGTTGGAGAAAGCCAAAAATTTACAATCCCAAAACGAATCACATGATTATAATCGATAGACCAAAATATAATAAATTAATATGGATATGTGTCATTAGGAAGAGGTCTTGATTCCTCCATCACCATTCGAGAATTATATTAAAAAATAAAAATAAAATACTGTAAAGTGTTATTATAGCCTGGCTCCTACCCCAAAGCTATAAATTTTTTTTGTTATATCCTATATGTTAGTAAATTTTAAATCGACATACTACTCTTGCTTATGCAAGTACAAAAACTCTTTTTTTCTAGGTATAGGAGGAAAAAGCGTAATTAATTTTGATTTGAAAAAAGAATTCCCATAGTATATATCAGACGAAAATAGTCTACATAAACCATCTCAATTAACATATGTGTCAAAGACACTAGCTTCGCTATACTAACCATGGCAAAAATTGCTACATCATTTGTAAAACACTACAAATTGACTCTACAAACTAGTTTACCACAGCTTAGTAGTTATGTCGAAGAGTTGGCTAATAAACTTTCAAATGGCAAGACAAAAGAGCAGGCTCGAAAAGCTAGAGATCAGGCTTCCAAGAATTGAGATTAAGTAAGGAGCAAGCTGATACTTTTATTCCTATTCGAGCTCCTGGGAGACATGTTGATTAAAGAGATCCCATTAAAATTATTGCCCAAGATATTATAAAAAATAATCTCTTACCTGAAGAAATAAATGGAATAGCATATGACTTGGCTTCTTCTGCTCCTACTACTGTTGCAGGAAATTTCCATCTTAATTTATTATGGAAAGAGTTGTGTAGCTTAGAAGCTGATTATCTCATTACTGAGGCAATGAAAATACCTTTTATTACCAAAGAAGCAAATCAGATTCAAGCAAGAAAGCGTATACTTCGTGGAATTAATGGTTATGATTGTCCCAAGTTCTTTTATCTGGAAAAGGTTCAGAAAAGACTTAACGAATGTAATATTACCAAGCCTCCTTTAATGCAAAATCTAATAGACATAATAATAATGCTATGTATATGATCGGCAGATGTGAAAAATCTTCGTATTAACCGATACAAACCAAGTCGCAAGTCATGGTATAATCCTGACCATTTTTGGTACTGTATTGGTTATGCAAAAAATAAAGGTGAAGTAGAAGAACTTCGACCATTCCTTTCAATGAAAAAATCCAATACGGGCAAGAGAATTACTTATCTGGATTCAGAGATCAATACCAGATAAATTTCCCTTCTTGTTAAAAGATAAAAATGGGAATACTAATGTTGCACCTCTTATCAATTCTTAAGTTGCTATAGAATTACCTCATATATGTTAAGAAAAATAGGTGCTGATCATACTTCTAGAGTACATGGAGGTAAGAATGATACTGGCCGTCAATATTTATGACAATTGGCATATAGGCATAAGATAGGCTATGCTTCATTAGTCGAACATTATGGTGTGATGAATGACAAACCAATTGCTTCAATGACTAAAGAAAAAAAATACTAAGATATCAGATATTATAGATCTATACAATTACTAATCATGCTTCTTTGCTTCGAAAACTTGTATATGTATTTCATTCTTGTCGATGCTAGAATATCTGGAAATGCACATCGTGGATTACAAATAATTTTATTTAGTAGTGGAGAATGGGTAATCGGGTATTTGACAGCCTCCAGCTAATTTCAAACAAAGAATTTTTATTTGCTGTGATGTATATATATATGTGATAATTTTTCTTATTTTACTTTTGATTCTAGACATGGGTACTGATTGTCACTAGCCGATTTTTTGACAAAAATCTCATACAATTGTTGAAAAGAGACATTCAGAAATAATGGTAGTCCCTCACCAGTAAACCAAAATTTTTTTACCCCCTATCAACGAATTTCTTCATTAGCACACCTGGATCATCTTCTAAGGGGCCGTGGAATTTCTCAAACTTCTGGAGGTACACTCTCGCATTTTTATTAGCTTCTTTTGCCATTTCTTGATTAGTATAACCGACAATACCGATTTTTCCTGAATTGTCGTTATATTGTCTTCTAAGTATAAAAGCAAATCAAATAATCTAATTGGTTTATTTGAAGAGGCTTTATCTCTTCTAAGTTCCGCTTCTAAAATGGGATTGATATCTATACCAAGTTTTCCCTGTATAGATATTAAATCTCTCACCAATTCTAACAACAATTCATATGAATCGGAAAGTTTTTTCGCTTTCTTGCTCTCCGACACTGCTGTTTGATTTATATTACTGTTAATACCAAGTTTTTTCTGAATAGCTGTTATATCTTTTTTCTTATATAAAAGCCCTTGTATAATTGAGAAAATTTTTCACTTGGATCAGTATTATTATTAGTATTACTTGTCATGATTGTTATAATATGGTAATATAATTAATGCGCAAAAATAAATAAATTAAGTAAATATAGCAAATTCAATCTGAAAATAATTATAACCACATCGTAACTTCGAAATCACATGACGTTATAATGAGTCTCAGTAGAGCGATATCATGTGTTTTAAATCCACGAATCGGAGATTAGCATAGAAGTATTTCGGTACTAACCAACTCACTAATTGCACCTATTGCAGAGTAATGACCCTTTTGGTCTATCCTTAAGCTAAATTATTTATCCACGATTGCTAGCGAAGATCAAGCGATGATCATTTGGATCAAGTCTTTGACTCTCCTGGCCCATACTAAATAATTCGTAAATGAATGGATCGCTAAACCCAAAATAAGATTTCATAAAATCTACAAATTGGTTTGTTAATAACAGGAAGTATATTATATAATAAAATAAATGAATTATAAATTGCAAAGACTTATCTAGTCAAAATTCGGATAATTATATTGATTTGGATATTATATCTGTTTACTTTTATCTAACAAATAATCCTGGGCAGTAAAAAAATAATATATAATCAGGTAAGTATAAAATGATAAGAAAAATTTTCATTATTAACCAACTTATCGTAATCTATACTATGAGTAATGAACCACTTAGCGAAGGAGAACTTACCAAAAAATACCCCAAACGAGAAGAATTATTGAAAGCCTTAGGAATAAATATCTTAAGAGGTCATTCAAACTCTCTCGCAAGTAATATCACAATACCGGAGCTAGAGAATTGCCATGAATGTAATGAAGAAATTTTGTTAAATCTACCCAAAGCATTTACCACGCTCGTGTGTGGTCATATACTCCATCATGACTGTTTTGAAAAAAGTAATAGAGATAAGCAAAAAACTTGTCCTATTTGTTTCGTAGATAATGAAGGAACGGCATCAGCTAAAGTTTAGGACGTAGATATGTCAGAGGCAGTGGAAGATGAAGGTGAAGAAACCTCTAATCTAACAGGGGCAGTAAGTAAGTTATCCGTAGATGGTGGTAAAGCTATCCCACAAAGTGAAACAAAATCTATGGAACCTGATAAAGTACAAGGTTTAATAAAAGAACTATCTATGCCAAGTAAGTCGATTGATAATAATGATAGAGAAAATAAAAGCAAGGAATTGAAGCCAAAAACTTTACTCCAATTATACTATAATACAAGCCGGGCAGAAAAACGTGTAACTTGTGCCTACCAAGAAGAAATAAGATGCTTGTATCTCTTTGCTGAAAAATTCAAAGAAAGAGTCAAAGAAATTAAAAGTGATAATAGTAGATTCAATGATCAACAAGCTAGAGGGTTAGTATATAGTAAAATTGCAACTAATCTTCCGGGCTTTACAAAAGAAAGTTTGCGTAAAAAAACAGCAAAAACAAGAAATATCTATAAGTTGTTCGGAGAAAGTTATGACCATGATACCAAAACAGTAGTTAAGGGACTAGAGATTGAAAAAATAGAATGAATTCAATCATATAGTGTGGATTATATTTCAAAACTTAATGCTACACAAATTTATAGTATTATAAAGCATTTTAGCTAGCGCAGTTCGCATCCCCAAGTTGATGCCAACGTGACATAAATATTTTTTATTAGTAAATCATATATAAGTATAATTATATAATTAAATTTATACGTATTAAAGTTTATACATACCAATAAATGCTTGTTAAATATAGGCATTCAATCGGATATCGACCTAAGGATTATGTATAAAACAGGGCACAAACACATTGCAGGTTTGAATGATAAAAATTTTTTAGCCACGTATAATTATTTTTCTATTAATACAACAATGATAAAAAATCATAACAATAAATATACAAATAAAAGAAGTCGAAATTATATAGAAAAGTGGTATAAGTACTATTTGTTTTTGCAATGGCGGGAATAAGAGATAAATCCCCGGTTATATGAGGGCCCCATATAAATATACCGGGTATTATTGTATGGTATCACGACAGTGAAAGAATAACTTTACAAAATTTTAAAATTTTAAAATTTGCAAATATTAGCAAATTATGAGCAATACGTATAAAATGTATTATTAGCACTAAATTAGCAATTTTAATAATTTATCATTTATTATTACAAAATTATTTCAATACGTATCAGCGCTATAAATACCTAATAAATTAATTAAACATTGGTAATTTTTTAGACCTTTATTATTACTAAAATATTGCCAATACGTATTAGCATTTTATTAACATACGTAGTAATTGTCAAACATACTTTGCTTAAATCGTTCATTTTTGCGATAGCAACAAAATATTCTAGATCTAGTTAAATTATTAATAATATAGGTCGCCAAGAGGAAATTTTCACAGCAAATCGCAAATTTTGGCAAATTTAGTTTCTTACTAGCACCATTAACGAGGTTTTAACGAGGTTTTTTACGGAATATGAAAACCTCGTTAAAGCCTCGTTAATAGTGCTAGTAAGAAACTAAATTTGCCTAAATTTGTGATTTGCTATGAGAATTTCCTCTTTGCGACCTATATTATTAATAATATACACTATATCTAGAATATTTTGCCGCTATCGCAAAAATGAACGATTTTAGCAAAGTATTTATAAAGCTAAATTATCGTAATAATGCTATTTCCTCCCGATTGCCGGGTAAAAACAAGTGTTACTGGAAACTTATTCTTTTCACTGACTAAAGTGATGAAAATAAGTCGTTCAATCCCATCATGAGTATACATGTTGGCAAAATCCCAAACTCTGGCCAAACTCATATCTTAAAAATCTTATTAATAATCTTTATTTAAACAATTCAGATATATATTTATAGCTATATATAATATATTTGCAAAATTTTAAGATTACTTTTTTTTGATTCAATTTAGCAATTATATTTTTGGGGGTTTGGGATTTGTCCAACAAGTATAATCATGAGATCATATATATTGTACGTCAGAGTCAAAAATGGAATCTTGCTAGATTTAGAATCAAGTTGATTCTAAATACACTTCGAAACTTTAAATTCATTCAAATCGTTAAATAATTTCGAACTGATTTAATTTAATTCAGAATCTACCTAGCGCATATTCAATTTTAAAATTAAAAGCGTTTGAATGCAAAGCTATTTATGTATGTACATTCTGATTATATATTCTGGCTACGTTAATTACGTGGGCTGTTCAAAAAGTTTTGACATAGGTTATGGAGGGATGCTAAAGCGGAGTTAAATTTAGTTAAGGTTGAGATTAGGTCACCTCAAATTGATTCTCTGTTTAACATAAATGAAATATCTTATACGGGAGGCAAAAAATACAGTAGTTCCATTGATTATTAAAAAAATATATCAAAAATATAAAAAGCCAAACTACAATTTGATCGGTTAATATAGTGTTGTTGTTACCTCATTAAATTTTAAAAAATAGTAAGGGGTTATGTTAAGAGTAGAGTATATGGGGTGAGTCAATAGAAAAGGGGCAAATTTTTTCTAAGTAAAAGTTTTCTTGACTTTAGGCTTAAATATCTTGGCAATTATCTTATCAAATTTAATAAATTTTTTTTTATTTTAATTCTATATAATTTCAAGATTAAAATAAAAAATTTTTTAGCAAATTTGATTAATTAGTTGTTGAGATATTTTAATTTAAAAATTAAAAAAATTTTACTAAAAATAATTTGTCCCTTTTCTATTAACTCCCCCACATATATCGATTATTTCTATTAATAAACTATTGGCAAAATTTAACTGGTATTAAGAAGTTTAAAATTGAGTTGCTGGTGAAACTAAATTGAGCTGGTGAAACTAGTAATTATCTAAACTCTGATTGGCTATTGTAGTAAACAGCTAATCATATTTTAGATAGTCACTAGTTTCACCAGCTCAATTTAGTTTCACCAACAACTCTAGTTTGAAAATTTCTTATATTGATTTAATATTTAATGAAATAAAAACACTATCATACTAGTAATAACTATATAATAAAATTTGAATTAATATTTTAACTAGTATTATAGCAGGTTTGGCAGCTTAGCTGCTAAGCTATATAGAGCTCAAACCTAATTAAATTAATTTTTAAATATTTATTATAAACATATTTATAGTGGTTTTGTATTTATTATATGTTTTATTATTAAGGAAAGTGGCACAGCTATCACAGGCATGCCAAAAGCCAAAATAGTAAAGAGGCATGCTATTTATTAGTCTCATAACAATAGACCAATCAAATTGTACCAAATTTGAAGCGGCAATTATCTTTTTGTGTCTCTCCCACTTATAATAAATATCAAATAAAAGACTTTATACCTTGCTATTTATATGTATATACATTTTTTATTTTATTTTTTATATTTTTATATATATATATATATGTTTCTAGTATTACAATTTCTATATATACGTTTCAGACACTTTACTATTATAGACAATCTTAACTTCACTATATTTCTAACTATGATCAGTTTATAATTGAAGAACTTACAATATTTATCAGTTAATTTTATTTGGCAGGTATGAGTATAAATAAATTTTATGAAAAAAATTATTATATTCATTTTTTCAAGAGATTAGATTCTAAGTTATTTTATTAATATTAAAGTTCACTTTAAAGATAGAACCAATTGTAAAGATTCAAACAGAATATTTTTATATTTTTCAATTTATTACAAAAATATTTTGTAAAAAAAAAAAGACCAGCACTAGAGAAAACATGTAAGTTTTAAGAAATACTTTATCCTGGCAAAAAAAAAACTTATGCGCAATTAGAATTGAAAAAATATATCATTAATTGACCAATCTTCAATACTATTAATAGATCTTTGAGAATAAGTGGCCAAGTTTTCTTCACTTATTTTTATTTGATTCTGTTTGAATGTATTAGCATTAAAAAAATTATTCATTGCTAACCCATTCTCATTATTCGCTTCTATATTTACTTCTTCAACACTAATTTGTAAAAACTTTTTATCAAATTCTTCAAAATAGAAATCAATATTGGCACTTTTAATATCGTTATTGGTAGAATCTTCAAGTTCTTTATTTGCTTCAGGTCTTTTTTTTAATATTTCAGGTAGCTTTGTTGAAGGTCAAAAAAATATTCCAAACATTTCAGTTAAATTGGATGATATTCTATTTCTAATTTTGTTTTCACTAGCTCTAGAATAAAGAACAAACATTTAATAGCTGCAAAATATAAAATGATTGCGAATATTTTCATAGCAAAATATCAGAGAAGTGGGAACTTTTAGAGAACCTGGTCCAGAAATTTCTAGAATTAATATTTTCAATATTTCTTTAACTATCAAAAGGAGTATTGCCATTTTTATAACTAATAAGCTTTTTGAGTAAGAGTGTCATTTCTTTTTTATCAAAACCTCAGGCTTTCGCCAACTTCAAGAATACTCTAAAAAATATTCAAAATATAGTATAAGCAGGTAAATTAATTTAGTATTATATATATATAGAGGTACTAAATAATTTACTTGTGCAGTACAAGTAAATTGTTTAATTATTTGAAAATTAGCAATAAAATACTTGACCTAATAACTGAATCTTCTGATATTTGTTCTGATATTGTGATATGCTTATAACTTGGTAACAAAAAAAAGCAATGAAATATATATTATTAGAGAATTCACATATTCATTTATCAATAGCTGCTAAGGCATGATCTTTGAACCCTTCTATTGGAATAGTTGCTGCAGAAACAATACAATAAACATTAATTAGTTTTTTAAAAATATTTGCTAATGTCGCATTTCTTGACTCAAGGTGACCAATAGCATTAATAACGGGAGTAAGAACTTTTATTAGTGTGTCGTTATTTGCAAAATAATATGGGTTAGTAATTATTTCTTGAATTTCTGTTTTTATTTTTGGATAATTATCTTTTTTACTAAAGTCAATGCATTGATTAAACTCTCTTTCGAAGGCTTTTATACCCAAACAGACTTTCGTGAGAGAGTACTATCTAGTCTCACAAAATGTTATAAGTAAATAGTATAATTTTTCTTTTTTTTGCTATTTTTATAGTGTCCAAAGTCAAATATAGGAAAATATAAAAAAGTTAGCAAGTTTTTAGTTATTCTTAATAATAGGCAACAGAGATCAAAAAGAGAAAATATCTTTTGCAAGAAGATTAAAAATGTAAAGATAGCAACAGATAGGAATAATATTTGGGTAATCTATATTGAAAATATTTTTTATTCGATTTATTATAGCAGAATTATTAATTATGCATACGATAATTAAAAAATTTGCAGAAATAGAATTTGAACAAAGAACTTTTTTTTAAGGTAAATTGAGGTATGTTGATTTGTAGATAAATTAGCAATATCTAAGACATATTCTTTATCTTCTTTTAAAACTATAAACTATATATTGAATTTCTAGATACATCTTGCTATCTATCTAAAGTGACAGTTATATCAATAAGAGATTTCATTGCTTCAAGCTTTTTACTTAGATAAATCGAAAATGCGTTATTAAGGATTTTAATATACAATATGCTAGCAGAGAGTGAATCATAATTTGGTGCCAATTCGGAAAGAAATTCGAGAAAATATAGATTATCTGCAATTTTAAAAAGAAGGTTACTATAAATAATAGCATTAAGTAATTTTTTGTTTATTTTGCTTTGTTTATTCTGAGAAACTGGCTTAATACACCAATTTACTATACTTTTTTGGTGTTTTAATAATAGTGAGAATGAACTGGTACTATAAGAATTTTTATTAATTCGGTTAATCAAAAAAAAAATTTACTGTATATTGTACAATTATATACATAAAAGAATCTTGATTAGAAATTAAACTCTTAGCTTTTTTGTGAGAATTAGAAGCAGAGCTAGTAACTTTTTTAAAATAATAGTTTTTTTTCACCAACAGGTCAATTATTACATGTAAGAATATAAGTATGAAGTTTTTTAGGTCTGCCAGGTAGTTCATAATTGCAATAAACACATTTAGCAGTATATCTATTTCCTGTATCTTTATCTAGAGAATGCCAAAATCTGATTTAGCAACAATCATGAATTTTCATGTCAGGGTAAATAAAACCAGGCGGTAATAATGGTAGTTCTGTTTCAGATATATTACAAACTATAATTTTACCTGATTCCAATAATTGCATTGCATGAATTTAGAAATAAGTAATTTATTAAAAAGCAGTATTGTTATAATAAATTTTGTAGGCTAAAGAAAAGTTCTCAAATAGAGGTGGATAATTCGACAAGCGAATCTTTGAAATAATTCTTTATATACTTTTAGACATGTTTTTGAAAGATTTCATTTTTTTATATAATTTATTCGCATTTATATTGTTTCTATTTTCTAATCTTATTTCTATAGCTGATGTCATGACAGGAAGTATTATAAACTAAGCATTCATCATTTCTAATTATTTATTTCTATTGTTACATCAGTAAGTTGAACCAAACACAACAATGTACTCACTAAATAGCAATATTAAATAAGCACTTAAATTTAATATTATTAAAGTACTTTAAATTTTAAATTATATTAAGCTTTATATTTATAATATATTTAATTTTTAAATATTTTTTAAGTACTTTAAATAAGTGCTTATAATTACATCCCAATACACTTTAGGCCCAATAAGTATTTATTAAGTATTTAGCAAATATTTTTTAAGTACTTTGACAAACTTTGTGATATGTGCTTGGCAATAATAAGATATGTGCCTAGTATTTTAAGATATATTAATTGTAGAATAATAATATTATAGATTTTGTATTCTATTGTTGAAATTATGACTGTATTAATAATATAAGTTATCTTTTTGGTACTAGCTATATATGCTAGGTTAAGAGCTTTTTTTTGAATTAGTTTGATCTGTTTAGTATGTTTATTGTTAAGTATGAACTAGCATTCTAAAAACTTAAAAGACTAGTTAAAAGATGTTGATACTAGGTTTGTTTGTAAGAATGAAATATTGGCTATTGTTTGGTTAGATATAAAAATAGATTTAGAGAAATTAACTTGGATATTGGCTATATTGTAAAATAATGAAGCTGTTTCTATTATTTTTTTAAGATTGTTTTTAGATTAGGCTATTCAAAGAGTGTTATTTATATAGGCAAGTACTGATATTGAGTATTGTAATTGCTTAATAGAGAGTGAAGTGAGTTAGACTGCCAAATAGTATAACTAGGTAATTGTATTGATTATTTTAAGATAAGTAAATCATAATAAATTTGCCAGAAGAGTAGAGTGATAGTTTCACCCTGGTTAATTCTATTCTGGACTGTATAATAATTAGTGAGGCCAAAGTTAGTAATAACTTTATTGGAGCAGTCTAAAAAAAGATTAGTAAGAATGCTAATAAGTTGCTAAGGCATACCGATTCTTTGTAGAGATTTTTGAAATAAATTGAAGTTAACTAAGTCATAAGCTTTACTTATATCTTGTGAAAAATCTACTATATAGCTAGTTGGAATTGTATGTTATATCTTTTATAATATTGTTGAGAATATAGATTGGAATAGAAGTGGAGTTGCCTAGTAGAGCAATATAGTTGAAGAGAGATAAAATTTTATTGTTAAAAAGAATTTTGTTAAGATGATTGGTAAGAAGCTTGGTATAAAGCTTCTTGATATGTTCAATAAAGCTTATGGGTCTAGTATTGGCCAGATTGCTATCAAAAACTAGTTTTTTGGATATATGATAAATTTTTTCTTCCTTTTATTATTTTAAAATTGTTTAGAAAGAAAGATATTAGTTAAAAAGAGCAGTTATTCCTTTAATGAAACTAGAACCTGCATGTTTAAGCATTTTATAGCTTATTTCAAAGGGTTCACAGGCTTTGTTAGAGGGCTTCCAGAAATCAGCTGATTTCTGGGTAGATGAGTAGGTTGACCATGGTGTCAGGTGTAATTCTGGCCAAAATTATTAGGCCATGGCCAGAATTATTATTATAGATTTTAGATCTATAGTGCCATTATAGGACCGAGTCTGTTATTTGGATTCAGTGAAACGTAAAACTAGGGTTTATTGTATGATCACATATGTACGTACTGGTCACATATTATACACCAGTACTGTAGTACTGCTGATTAATAAATTGTGTATTTCAATTTTATCTTTTAATTTTTGAAATTTTTGGTATGCATTAAAGCTAATATATCGTTATTTTAACAGATTCAAGAAATAATTGAAGCACTTTATATATAGCACTGCTTAAAGTTACCCAGGCCTTATTCAAAAAACGTTTAGGCCAGTCTGAATAGTACCTGAAGATACTATATAAAAAGCGAAGTATATTATAGTAATACTCTATAGAAGAGAAGATACATTACCAGGATATAAGTAAATTTTATAAGCAGGGGGTTTTTTTTTTAGCTCTTTGATAGTCTTGTCAGAGCTCAAATACAATACTTTATTAAATAACCTCAGATGGAATAAATAATGACAGTATAAAAATTACAAGCCCGACATTCCTGGCTGCATCTAGTGTGCCTAAGAGTGACATGTCGCACCAACCTACATGTAAGTTAGAAGACCTTGTCAGCCCACCAAGAGCCTATCCCTTCATTCTTACTTTCTTCACCGAGAGCAAAAGAAAATAATGTTCTGTATTCTCAATACTAGAACGTACATCAAGAAGAAAAGGAGCTTATATACAAAAAAGATACAAAACAAAAAAAGGAAAATAAAAATGAGGGAAACAGAAAATGTAAAAAAAGAAAAAACAAAGAGATAAACCCTGACAAGCTAAACAAAAAAAGCTATCTCCTGTGAGAAATAGCAGCTACCTCTATCAAGAAATAGCATAAAAACAAACAAAAAAGAAAAAATAAAGTGTACTATTATAACCTGTGCCAAGCAAGTATAAAAATTATATAGCAAATACAATATTTGTTTATCTCTACTATAAAGCTTTGCTTTAATATTATTGTTTCTTTCCAACCATACAACCGACTCTGAAATATTTGGACCTAGAACTTGAGATCTGTTCAAATTAGTAGCACCGTATCTATTGAACACGTGGTTGTAATCTACTCAGCTTTCCAGATTTGGGGTGTAAACAATATTAATCTTTTGAAGGGAGTAAGCCAAATCTTCACTTTTTGAAAAAAATTTTGGAAAACCGAAAGAAAGCGGAAATGAGAAGAGAGAGTTGCAAGTGCTTTCAAAATTTTTTAAACGAGTGAGTCGAAAGAGCAGAGCTTCTTGTTGTTTCTCCTGTGTTCTTCATTGAAATAACAACCTAACAGCTTTGTCGATGGAGTTGGACCACCTCACCCATACTTCATCAAGATTTTTTATACAAGGGCACCGCCTGCTAGTTATCTTGTATAATAACACTCCTGGCTTGCATGCCGAATGTCCTTCTTTAGAAGAGTCCTTAAGAGTAGTAGTTGACCTCTAGACAAACCACTATATAGGCCACAACTCTCCAACAAGTAGTTTTGGTTTTTCTTTAGTAGAAAATTTTGGTCTAGGTGATTGTTGGGAAGAGTTGAATAAATATAACCATATAAGCAGTTTAATTTATTTTTTATTTATTTATTTTATCTATTTTTTTAACTCAACCTATTTATTATATTTATTTCCCATTTAAAGCAGTTTCAATATCCTTTTATAATTTATGAATCTTTAATTATATCATTATATTTTTACATTTATGATACTAATAATTTTTGTAACACAGCTTTCTTTATATAACCTTGTATTATGCTACTCACCATCGGAAAAGTATAGAATTAAAACATTTAATGCTTCTGCTTCATTCGAAAAAGAACTAGAAAGACAATCATCGAGAGAATTAAATAAGTGTAAATTTGCAAAAACTTGCAAAAATACAGATTTTTGCAGAATTTTTTGCAAAAAAACTGCAAAATTTCTTATATTTTGAAATTTTGCGTAGAATTGTATTTAGTTTCTTTAGCTATAGCTGGTAAGTCTGAAGTTTTGCACAAATTTTTATTTAATATATTATTTAATTTTTTTGCAAATCTGCACAGAACAGCACTAAAAAATTTTTTCTGATGATCATCTGTTGCTGCATGAATCTTAGACTTTTTGTGCCGATAGGTAAGATAAGAGTGTTTAAATTTTTTATGGTGAAAAAAAAAGACCATGGTGGAAAAATACTAATAACAAGTAGAACATACTAATAATGAATAGAGTTTAAAAAAAATAAAGGGGCAATGTTGATCAAAGCCGGAAATTTTTAATTTGTCCACATACTGAAGTATATGATTTTTTATCTAGCCCCAAGATATATCTGAAGCTTTGTTAAAAAGATTGATTTGTTCATTTACATATTCAACAATTACTTCTTTACTATTAATATAGACTTGTTGCCAAATATTATATAGCCTTTCACCAGAATAGTGAAAATTTTGCTTGCAAGGTCTATATTCTCAATGACGCCATTAAAATCAAGATGAGAGCCAAAATGGTCAATAGGTAAGACAATACCTGCCAACTTTTCTAAGAGAGTAGACATACTATGTTCTATAGAATTGTAGGCCAATTGTCCAGAAGTATGGGCTCTGACAGTAAAATAGTCGAGATTTAATTCAATAAATAATTTACAGTACTCTATTATATTTTTTAGGTGCCTGGGGTTCTTGTCAGAACCACTATCAACAAGCAAAACCAGAATTGGTTTGAATTTATTTTCTAACTTTAACGTATTATTTAAAATATGACTTTTCATTATAAACATTATGTCTGCCATATGTGTTAAAGAGGAAGTACCAAGCAACCATTGTCGGTGAATAAAAATTAACAATTAACCATTACATAATGAGTCATTTGAATCTTTTGGGTCAATTGTAAGGTAAACGGAAAGTATTAGCTTTTGTTTGTGTCTTCGGAGAAAGTCATAATCTTTTCATAAAAAAAAAAAAAAAAAAAAAATTAAAGCAAAGCTAAATATAATTATATATATTCACTTTTATCGTATAAACGTGAAATAGCATTCATGGGCGTTATTTTGAAAATTGAAACCTTCAAAAATAGGTTGTCTCAATTTACAATATTTCATTCTTTAGATATTCCTTTAATATAGGCATGAAAGATGTATATTAAATAGATTGCAAAAATGTTTATAAATAGGTATTTATTTTATTTTCTATAGTTCCTTTTTCCAAACTTCATACA